ATTAAAGGGTATGCTCCCAAGTAGGTTTTGGTGTCTCATGCCTTTAATCCCAGCACTCAGGAGGCATGGGCAGGTGGATCTCTATGAGTTTGAAGCCAGCCTGGTGTACAAGAGCTAGTTCCAGGTTAGGCTCCAAAGCTACAGAAAAACCACTACCACCAACACCAAAAACAGAAAGAAAGAAAGAAAGAAAGAAAGAAAGAAAGAAAGAAAGAGGAAAAAAAAGAATGAAAGAAAGAAAGAAAGAAAGAAAGAAAGAAAGAAAGAAAGAGGCATGTTTATGGTGGCACAGTCTGTTATCTCTGAAGTTGTTGAGGTCAAAGTCACCCTGGACCACATAAGGAGAACTTCTTTAAAAACTGTGTAGGCAGGGCACGGTGGCACAGGCCTTAAGTCCCAGCACTCTGGGAGGTCAGCCTGGTCTACATAATGCATTCCGGTGTATTCCAGAGCTACATAAAAGAGATACCCTGTCTAAAACCAAACCAACCAACCAGACAAACAAAAAACCACCAACAAATAAGTAAATAGTAAAGACGAGCTATGTTTATAGGCTTTGTGAACGCAGTAACGGGAGACAAGGACAAGTGAGGCGAAAGGCAGAGCTGAAGAAAGGAAGTTTTGGTTTGAGTTCCTCTTCTAGAATGGTTTGCATTACCAGGCTCTCATTCTCGCCAGTCAGCGAGAATCGAGATCAGATTTGTCTCCCGGAGAAGCGGAGCAGCCAGTTGTCCCTCCTTTCCCCTCCTCCAGAATGCCTGGGAGGCAAGGCGGGAGGGCTGCCACAGGCCTGCTACCTGGAAGTGTCTGAGGAGGAGCCCTGCAGGAATACTTGTTGCGTTCCTGGACTGAGACTCAGCCGCCCTCTGCAGAGATCGGTTCCTTGGAAGTGGTACTGTTCTTAATCCTGGAGCAAGCACCGTTGAAGATCGATTTGGGATGGATTAGAGGCTTGCTTTTCTCCATCCACCAGAGAAGGCAAGCCGGAAGGAGAGTGAGCAAGAAGAGCTTGTAACAGAGAAGGCATTTGGGGTTAGGAGGAGGGGCATTGGGAAATTAGAGACCTGGAAATAGATTTCTTTAAACCCTACTTTGTCGGCACACAAGTATCCCCCCAAGTCACGCCAGTTAGCAGGTCTAGTGAAAGAGTTGAGAGGTGCATGGAGCCAGGGCTGTTTCCCCTGTGTCTCAGGTCCGCAGGCAAGGCATCTTCATTTGCCTCTCCTCCCTTTTCCTCTGTCTGTTTTTTGAAACTGGAACACTTCTTTTGGCACAGTGATTTTTGACCACATCCTCTTCAACTACAACACACTGAAGAAGTGGCATTTCTTGAGGAGAGTTGGCTGATATCTGGGCTTATAACACTCACATGACTGTTGTGGTGTAAATGTATACATTGAAGTATTTTAGAGAGATGGATAAGGCAATTTGCTTTAGAAATTTATATATATACATAAATACATATGCATACATACATGCTGGGTGTAGTGGTACAGTCCCAGAGTCCCAATACTGTGGAGACAGAGGCAAGGATATTGTAAGTTCCAGGCCAGCCTGGTCTACATAGCAAGTGCTTTGGGATGTTTTAAATATGCATCTAAAAAACTCTATTTGTGTGCTTTATCAAATAGACAGTGGAGTGTTTCAGTGGCTCTGAATTCCCTCTCCTCCCCTTCCTCCCCTCCCATCCTTCCTCTTACCTCTCCTCTCTTCCCTTGTTTTCCTCTACCTGTTCTAGCTTTGTGAGACAGGGTCTCCTGTGGTCTAGGACCCTCTGTCTGGGTGCATCGTTCAGTATCCTCCTGTTTCAGTGAGCGATGGCTTACCTGCTTTTCATTTTTGGACTAATTCAGTTGAGTTGTTGATTATATTTAAGATACAACGGCTGGGGCTACAGCTAGGTAGCTCGCCTGACACCTACAAGCCCTGGCCTTGATGACGGATTGCATCTATGGTGTGCAGTTAGCATTACACTCGTGGAAGAGTTATTTTCAAAGCTCATTAATTTAAAGAGCTAATGAAAAGGTCCTCCTGGCACTCAGGAGGCACAGTGATTGCCCCACTCACCTTGTAAAGTTTGCCCTCTTTGCTAACTTGAGCACCCTGGGCCCCGTGGGAGTAATGGATTCAGGAAATGCAGAAATAGAAAGTTGTTCTTTTGTTGGGCGGGTGATGCACTTTGCTGCCCCAAAGTAGCTTTCTATCATTAAGAGAAACTCTACTGGATAATAAGACATCTCTACATTTTAAATTTTTAATGAGTCAATTATTAATTGGGGCAGAATCTTATACATAGTTGTGGCTGGCTTGGAACTTGCTACATAGACCAGGCTGGTCTCTAAGTGATCCACCTGCCTCCGCCTCCGAGTGCTGGAACTAGAGATGTGCTCCATTCATACCAGCTGGACTTCGGCAGCCTTGGTTTTTCTCAGGTGTTTCCAAGATGAATCCCAGAGAAACTGTGAGCCGCCTCAAGGCGTGCCGGAGGTTGTAGTCTTGGGTCTGACTTCATCAGAAAACCGAAGAATTCTCAAAGCCTCATGAGTGGGTTTTGTTCACACTTTGATTTCCCAGTTAGACCCTGGGTCCCACACAAGGGTGGTGTTTAAAGCAGTGGACAATGACATGCACACAGCCTTCATGCACTGGGATGACTTCTCCTGGACTTCTAGCTCATTTGAATCTCTTACCACTAGTGAGACCCACTTCCACTTTAGAGGATTCTAATTTTCATTATGAACCACTCAGAAGCCAGAGACTATCAGGTCTACTTTATACCCTATTTCCTCTTCTCTGGGGAAATATTTGCTCTAATTTTTTTTTTTTTTTTGTTGCTATAGTTAAGCTGTCTCACTTGAGAAGAGTGCAGTCACTTGTTTATTTTGTGGTGTGGGGATCAAACACAGGGTCATTTTTGCACGTTGGGAAAAGTTCTGCTAAGACACAGACCCAACCTGAAAAGAAATTTGTTTTAATGGAGTCTCCCTGTGTAACTGTGGCTGGCCAGGAACACGCTGCTCTGGCTGCCTCTGCCTGCCGAGTACTGGATTAAAAGCGCATGCCTCTGGTCCAGCCTAGACTGTCCCTCCCACATCTTGCTACATTCTTACTCCTTTTCTTTTAGAGCAAACCCATACAAGATACAATAGGAGTACTGATCCCTTGTAGATGGGAAGGTATTTAAATGCTGGTTTTCAGCAGGCAGACCTTGTTTTTAATTTTAATACTAATGACATTTATAGCCTGTACCAAACAGGTATTTTTGAATAAATGATAGTTTCTCTAGTTTTATGCCTGAGATTATTTTGTTTACAGAATAAGTGACCACAGTTGGCATATAAGTCCCTTATAAAATGATTTAGCACTTGCATATAACGTATGCACATTTCCTGATTTACACAGACAAGGATATGTCTGTGTGGATCTTTATTTCATGAGCTGTCTCTGCGTAGTCCAAGTGAGTCTTGAAATTTTGATCCTCCTGTCTCAGCCTCCAAAGTAGCCGAGCTTCTTGGTGTGAACCACTGCATTCTGAGGAAGTTATTTCCTAACATCTTTCTCAGGCTTTCAAGAGGATGGCTCACCTGCTCATGTATGATTGCTCTCTTTTATTGATTTTTTTTTTATGTGTAAGGGAGTTTTGCCTGCATCTATGTCTGTGTACCGTGTGTGTGTGTGATGCCTGCAGAGACCAGAAGAGAGCTTCGAATCCCTTGGGACTGGACTTACAGTTAAGAACTGGGATGCGATGCTGGAAACTGAACATGGGTTCTCTGGAAGAGCGGCGGAGCCATCTCTCCAGCCCCTCATGCATGATCTTGTACCATCATGCATCGCCATTTGGGGCCTATGGCTCCCTAAGTCATGCAAGGTCTCTTGAATCATTCGCTACACCATGATGTGTCAGCAACAACTTCTGAGTATGGGAAACTGTCTCACTTATGGTGGCATTTGTTTTTTTATTTATTTATTTTATTTTTATTTATATGGTGGCATTTGTGAAGTTTCCCCAAGTGCTTGGAAGCATAAACTTTATCTTTTGCAATGAACACCTGCAGTTCTTTCCCTCAGAGACAAACTTGCCAGGTGCCACTCAGAAGTCTGAATTGTTCTTTCAAGGAAACACGGCAGTCCGTGTTCAGGGTGCAGCTAGCTCACGTGGACAAGTTCATCTACTCTGTCCTCCCCAGCTCAGAATAGTGCTTCTTGTGTGCGTACTTTCCATTTGTCACACACAAAAAGAGAACCCCGACTCACTGCTTCAGATTGCCTCCTCAGACCTGAGCTCCAGGCTCTGTCTTATAGTCCTCTCTCCTCCCTGCCAAATCACTTCTGTCTCCAACTCCCTAGTGCTGGGATTAAAGGCGTGTGAGCCCACATGCTGGGATCACCTTCGTGTGAGCTGTTTCTCCCAGAGTCGACCTCACGCTGCCCAGGGTGGCCTTGAACTAACAGATCCTACGTCGTGTGATTCTCGGCGCGTGCGACCACTCCTGGCCTCTAGTGACTTAGCTCTCTACTCTGACTCCGTAGTCTTGTGTTGTTCTGAAAGTGGTTCTAACCTCTGAGCGGGGACTCCAGGGAGTCCAGAGAGATTTTACATAGCAATCTTGGTGCCGGGCCTTTTAGTCTTTAGGAACTGGACAGTCAGTGACCTGAGCAATATATCCGTCGAACCCGGAGTGCACCGGGTAGGAAGGGCCGTTCAGTATAGCTCTAAGGGTTTCCCCGCGCCTTCAGCTAGCTAGTCCTGGGCGCAGCCGAAGTCCTTTTCCTGTCTCGCTGCCCATCATAGTTCTTAGCCGTTTCCCAGGCAAGGCTTGGTGCCTTTTCTGATGTCAGAGTTGGACGCAATTTCGATTGTACTTTCGAGCGTTTATTGACTCGTTTTGCATCATGGTTTTTGTTTTGGGAGGGAAGCAATTCTTTTTAATTTACTAGGGGACTTCCCCGAATGGTTGTTTTCTGGGTAATCCGCATGCTGCCCCAAGAGGGAAGTCGCTGTGTAAACACTTGTCTCTGAGTACCAAACTCAAAACTGAAAGCAAAGTTAAAGCAGTATTGCTTGCGATCTCTGATGTTTCAGACGGCAAGTTCCGCAGTGGCTGCGGCCAGAAACAGCGAGGGCGGAGTTGGGCTGCCGGCTCCCCGCACAACCCCGCGGCTCCAGGACGCCGAGGTCCCAGCCGGAGCGCAGGGGTCTCAGGAGCGCGCGCTTGCACGGCAGGACTGAAGGCTGAGCCGGCCGAGAGCACTGCCCTTAAAAGGAGGCGGGCCGTACCACCGCCGCGCCCGCGGGAGGGGGGTCCCGGCGAGCTCGGGCACCTCGAGGGGAGCCGAGGGCCGTGCGCTTTGCCCTCGTAGTGCGAGCCAACTGAGAGCGGGGAGCCCGCGGCGGGCGGCGGGGACGAGCCTGGTGGTCTAGAAGTGCCCCGAGAGTGCCCCGGGGCGGTGGGCAGCGCCGGTCCCCGGGCTCGAGCGAGGTGCGGTTCGCCCGGCGGCCCCCGGTGCCCGGATGTCCGTCAGGCTCGGCGCGAGCCGTGGCTCCGGGGGGCGGAGGCGGCGCTGAGGTCGCGGAGCTGAGGACGCAGCGGCCGGGAGCTGAGCGTCCGCGCGCCTGGGGCGTCCGCTGAGCTGTGTCGCCGAGGACTGCGGTCGATGGAGAGCGCGGCGCGGGCGGAGGGGCCCGCGGGCCGAGGGCTCTGATGGACACGGGACGCCGGACTGTGTGAGCCGAGCCATGGCAGCCCACTCCAGGTGAGGCGGGCGCGGGGGGCTTCCTTCCCGGACCGGTGAGCGGTCTCGGGGGGGGGGGCAGAGCTGGGGCGACGCCGGTGGGGGTGCCGGTGCGGGGACCGCAGGAAGCCGCTGGCTCACTGCTATCTCATTCCCCGAGTGTCAGGCAGAAAACAGCGCCTGCACCGGGTGCAGAGGGACCGCCCGAAAAGTTAAGGTTAAAGTTAAAGCTCCGGCTTCTGCCCTAAAGTGCTGTTATTTTTCGGCAAGTGAAGTTGGTTTCAGTCGCGGGAGATTGGGTTTTCACCTGTGCACTCTTTGGCTCTTTCCTCGTTGCTCCATTGATGTCTTCAAAGGAAACTTGGAATTACACTTAATGGAAAATAGAATTCGCCCCGGAGAGGGTGGGGGAGGATTTGCCTGGTGAGTAATGAAGATTTTCCTGCTAGAATGTAGGATTCCACATAAAACGGCAGTGCCTGAGTGGATCTGCTGAGTAGGCAGAGGCCGAAATGCGCTCGGTTGGTGAAGGGGAGCGTGGCTAATGAGCCGCAGTCGCTGTCAGAGGAGAACTCTGCACCGCAAGGACCCAGAGCCCTGCCTTTTCCAGGGTTTTCAGGTCTCGAAAGGAGCCTTTAAAAACTTGACCGCGCACCCGTGATTGCCTAAGATTCAAACTGTTGAGTGCAATTGCATTTCGGTCGTGACAGCAATGGGTGGTCAGGGAAGAGGAGTGGGGGTGAGGGGAGGTGTACCATTTTAAAACTTTTTCCAGAAAGCAGTGTGGCTGCAGAGGTTTACAGTTCAGAGGTTCTGTCTTCAGTGTCATACTTGATGCAGGATGGTGACTTGAAGGTGGACCTGGAAGCTGAGCTGAACTAATTTTTAGGTCTCAGATCATGGAGAGCAGTAGATGGGTAAAACGTCAGAGATCGGGTAGATATGACTTGAATTTTCCTAAGAGATAAAAACTTTCTAGGAGGGAACGAACTTCTCTAAATAGAAAACCTCCTGAGTGGTGCCTACTTTAAAAACAAATTTAATCTTCGCAACTCAGCTTACCTCTACCTCCATTTTATTGCATGTTCGAAGGAAAAGGTTCCTAGCTGGGCAAAGGGGTAGGGACAGAAGTCTCAGCTATGAAAACCTTCTGCTAAATGCTAAGTGAAAAGTGTTTGTTTGCATGGAATATGTCCCCAAGCCCCTGCATTCCCAGCCCTGAGCTCGTGGCACAAACAGAAAACATGGATTTCCATAATGGCGTCATAATTACTACAGGTGTCTTAAGCCGCTCACATTTCCCGCTCGTTCGAAATTAACTGGGCAGTGGTGCACGCCTTTAATCCCAGAACTCAGGAGGCAGAAGCAGGCGGATCTCTGTGAGTTAGCCAGCCTGATCTACAAAGCGAGTTCCAGGACAGATGGGGCAACACAGAAAAATCTTGTCTCCAAAAACAACAACAAGAAAGAAATTAAGAATTGTTTATCTTCTTTGCTTTTACTCCATTACTTTGTAGGATACGTTTTGACAAATACTCGTCTACATAATTTGTTTCCTTTGTGTTCTAATGTAACCCATTGTGTAGTAAAAAGCTATCCCAAGTGTCATTATTCGGCAGACTGCCTTAAGAGCCCATGGCACAAAACCTGAGATGAAGGTACCGCTATCAAATAGCACTGGCAGAGCAAGGGGCTTTGAACCCAGGTTCCATTGTTCCAATGCCTGAGCCCTTAGACTAAGGTCAGACATAAAATGAGATAAAAGATAAATTGGATACTGCGTGTGTATCAGACTCAGCATTGAGCTGCTGTAATTGGATTACCTCTCTCGTCACCTAAATAGATAAGTTTATTATCTACACTTGGTAGTTAAGGAAACTGAGGCCCAATCAGGGTGTTTATTGCCCAAGTTCACACAGGTGGAACATGCCTGACCCGAGTTGGCCTGAGTAGCTGCTAGCTACAGTGTAGCACTTCCTGGCTGGCTGTTGCCTCCTTAGCTGCACCTCTCTTGAAGAGTAGGTAGTTTTACTTCTGCTAAGATTGCTCTGCTGCAAAATAATCTAAGCTGAAAGTGTTGCTGCTCAGCGCATTAGCAAATGAAATAGGAGGTCCTTATATTACTTCTGGTCCATACCTGGCCTGGCCACATGCTCTGGAACCAGAGACAAAAAATGAAAAGGGGCCATTGTCTGTTGTTTTCTTAGCCTGCACGCCGAGAGTGGATGCCATATTGTAAATATCTCTTCAGTTACACCATGAATGTAGTCTGTGTGATAGAGTAGATAATCTTTGAGACTCAAAGAGAGGATGCATGACAGGGATTCATGATTTTTGAATTCCATCAAGTTTCTGTGGGAGTGCTAAGGGGAATGGAAGCACTCTCTGTGACGCTAAGTTCATGAGCACACGCCACATAGATGCTTTACTTTTTTGCCTGAGTGACAGTTAATGTGGCCTGTCAGGCTTAGAGATACACAGCTCTCACAGCTCACTGTTCAACTATGGTGGTTAAGAACGCTTTCTCTTGCAGGGAACCCAAGCTCTGTTCCCAAGACCCAGGACAGCTCACAACTGTCTATAACTCCAGTTCCAGATCCAGTGCCCCTTCTGGCCTCCTTGGGCATCAGGCAGTCACTTAGCACACACACACATACATACAGGCACAAACACACACAGTCAAAAATCTAAAATCCCAACAAATCTGCCACAGGCAGTTTCATTGCACATAGACATGGTTGTGGGCAGTGAAAATGGCTGTAGGAACCAGCCACTCCTGACCAGTGTAAACGGGGCTGTCTGGGGCTGTGCATCCCTTCTCCGTGGCTCCTCAAGGTAGGGAGAGCGCTGCTGTCTCTTTCGGGGTTCCTGTTTCAGTTGTGAATGATGGCTAGTTATTTCTGGGCTCACAAGCAGCTCTAAAACCTTTTCTTCCTACGAAGTTTGGCTTTGGTGGTAGCCAGTTCCCGTTCCCTCCCTCCTTCCCTCTCTTCAGCTGTGTTCTGACTGTCCTGGAACTCACTTTGGTGAACAGGCTGGCCTTGAACTCATGATCCACTCCCTGTCCCGGGTTCAAAGGCAGGCGCCTCTGTGTTTGGTGGTAGTAGATTTCTTAGGGATGAAAGACATTTGTTAACTACCACTTGGAAAAGAAAATTTGGGAGTTAGTCAGAGCACGGCATATTTGGTATGTCCCAGGCCAGTGTGGGCTTTCTCTGGAACTTGTAAACATAACACACCCTGAACCTACTTCCTTGAGAGAACTGGTAGAAGCTTGATTTCTTTTGTATCAAATGGTTATAGAGTCTCTTCTGTGTGGAGACTGTTCTTTATGGAATTATAGAAATTAGTAAACTCGACAGCACTGGCCCTTATCCTATGTAGGGTGCTTGCTTCATGCTGAGTAACAATGTTGATTGCTAGAATGAAAAGGTGTGTGTCAGAATCTCCAGCAAGCCCCCCCCCCCCCAATTCTTCATTGAAATAGTCCATGGATTCTAGAATGAAATACATACATATCTTCTATCATCAGGTGTAAAAATCCTTCTTGTACTGGGCTTGATCATAGACTGTAATCCCAGCACCTGGGAACTAGAGGCAATGACAGATGCAAGTTCAGGACCAGCCAGGGCAATCCTTTGTGCCGTGACAGTCACCCTGGCCCATGCCTACAATGGTGAAGGGTGTCTGGGTGGCATGGGGGAGTTGAACTTATTTGTGAGAATTGTTTCTGGTGTTAAAAGCCTCTGGGCACTGCAAAAGGAGACTAGGGCTAGCCACTCTATCTTACAGTTTTCCTTTGGAACGTTGACCTGTCAGTGCTGAGGAAGCCCCCAAAGTCTATAACAATGTAAAATCAGGTTTTTCTTAAGTTCAACACAAAGCTGTTTTTTCGTGGTTCTCTCTGATTCTAGGAGGAGAAACTGTTCTGTTGTGGGAAATACTGCCTTCAAACTGGTACAGAACCAGTTTGGCCCCACCCTGTGCCTCCACCACCCACTGGGGAGCTACTGATTGCCCGGAAGGAAGAAAACCCAGAATGCAAAGTAGCCACGACTAAACAGAATAATTTTTGAGAATTGGAGGAAGAGATTTGGAGGGGAGGATGTCTGCCCGTCCTTGACCCTTGGCTGGCCCCCCCACCGTCCCCTATGGTACCTTTACACACAGTGCCTGTGACAGAGGAGACACACGCAGGTCTTCAGGAGTTACTTTCTAGTTCAGTGAGCTTCCTGACTCACTGTCTAGTTCTTTCCCAGATGAAGAGTGCAGGAGCCATGAGTCATTCTTTGTTAAAGTCAGCTGGCTTTGTGGGGGTGTTGTTTGACAGAATGAATGGAAATGATCTCTTCAGAACTCTGGGGGGTTCTAAGGCTTAGGATGAGATTCGTGAATGCTGTTCAACGGTTGTTAAAATCGAGCACGTTCGGGGGTGGGGGGGCAGTCTCCATCAAGGATGCGAGGTGACAGGACATCATTTCTGTCTTATTCCAGCCGATGTGTCACGAAAAGCTGTAGTTTAGCTCTGAAGTTTTGTATAACTCATCTGCCTTTACATATAAATCTTTTTTTTTTTTTTTTGCCAGTTTTTAGGCATCTCAAATTCTCCATTTGTTTTGCAGGACTCACAAATAGGTGTATTTCAATTGAGAATGTGAGATGTCTTGGAAATACAGTTTGTGCCCCTAGGAAGTGGCATTTGCTGGTCCAGCCCCATGACTGCCTAAGCTGGAGTAGAATTTCTTTGCAGGTGCAGGTGCTGCTCTCTGGCCGAAGAGCTTCAGTGCTCACCTGGGTTTACGTGAAGATTAGCTTTCTTTAGTCCTGAGTGCTGACTTCTGGGTGTCCACAGAGAGTGTGGAGGCTCCTTCCCGGGTGCACTTTCCTCTCCTATCTCTGAGAGTTAAAGCTTAACCCGATGGCTTAGCTGGTGGACACGGGACCCCGAAAGCCTCCGTCTCCGCTAAAAGTCTCTTTTCTTGTGTTGATTTATTAGCTTTGCTTTTAATTTAACTGGCTTA